CACGTATTAGGTTTCGTTTCTGTTTGTCGGAACATCGCACGGCCAGTTTTGAGTGAGTCGCGCGATATAATACAAATCTCCATCATCCCCCGTCTGGAGTTAAGGCTCCTTTCTGCGCGTCGTGTCGCCGGGTTTATAGTTATGGGCCAGACGAGGTTGACGAGAATCTGGTCACCATATCCCCCGTCTGTTAGTAATTTGTCATCTGAGAGGTTGCTTTTAGTTGCCCAAGCAAATAGGTAGTTTGATCATAAAAAAAAAAAGAAATGCGAGGAGATCTAACCTCACCCCGATCGATAACCGTCCGTACTCGGCTTGTTTATCCTAATCTAGGGCTATCTTAGGCGCATAAGAATTCCCGCGAAAAAGGGATATCGAGGAGTCCGCAGGACGTAACAATTCTGTCGTGGGAAAATGTCTTGATTTTTTGTTTCGAGGATTTTAATTGGTGGGGTGTTTCCACCCGGGGATGTAGGTTTGAGCTTTAGCTTATCTATTGACGAGCTAGATATAGTTATCTATTTCTACGGCTGTTCAATGGCGAGTCTTGTCGTAAGGCCGCCCCCAACGTCTTATTTTAGGGGGGCCAAGCTATCGGTTCTTCCAGTGACTCATCCATTTCTTGATTTTCACCGATTTCTCTTTTATTAAGGCTCTGGGTCCTAGGTTTATCTCGCGACCTTGTTTTTAGTACCGACAGACAATGCTCTAATTTTAATTGTAGGTTTATTGCAAATAGAAACCTCCGCCATGTGCTTTTACAGGATTTTTAGAAGCATGTTTTACACCTCGTTTCTGCTTGTCGGAAACATCGCGCGAGAAATTTTGAGCTGGTTGCTCGATACAATTAATCCTCATCAAACTTTGTCTGGAATTAAGGGCCCTTTGGCGCGTCATGTCGCCAGTTGTGGGCCAGACAAAGCTGAAAAAACGTAGTCGTATATGCCTTGTTTGTCTGGATTTCGTCATCTGGAAGTTTTCTCTCGATTTCTCGATCTCGTAAGCAAACAAAGGAAAAAATAGAAAGTAGCGATCGGATTTGAAATGTCGAGATTATAGCTTACTTGCCTCTGTGGATAACCGTTAGTGCTCGGTTACTTATTTTAATTTTAAAGGCTATTCTAGATTTATAAGAAATTTCCGCGAAAAAGAGAAATCGTGGAGTCCACAAGACGTAACAATAATATGCATTAAAAAAATATAGCACAAACTTACATCCATAAATTATACAGTTTTCGTAAATTTTTGCATTCACAAAGGTCATCAATATTTCGCGACGAAATAAGAGGTTAGAGGTTTTTGATTCTAGCCGTGTGCTGCGGCGGTGCTCTCTGGAGGCGATCGTTTGGTCAATACTCGGCTGGAGGATTAGGCATGAATGTGGTCTGATGCGTGGAATGGGGACGAGGACGGCCTGTGTTCCAAACAAACATCGTTTTGGGGGAAATTAGGTGGATGGGCGTCGATGCAAGGATCGTTTTCGGGGGTGGGTTGAGGCAGTGTTATTTTGCGGTTCCTGCGCCTTTCGTTTAAGCCTAGGGAGGAAACTAAGGGGGTGTTTTTAGTGAGTGCGAGCCCCACATACCCCCGGGTGGCCGGCCTCCGGGGCATGCGGCTTGCATAAGTCCTTCCGGAACATCATCTTAGGGAAGGCTGCAAGCATTAGGCAGTTTCACCTCCTCCCGTAAAAAAAAAAAAAAAAAAAAAATACAAAAGCAAATGATCCGACAATTACTCTGAGCAAATAATTGTTACGTTCAACCCCGGGATTAGAGTAAGAAAAACTGGGAAGCAAAGGAAAGGCTAACCAGAGGGGTCGGGGTAAGGAAGGACGCAACTAGATACTTGCAAATGTCGCTCGCAGGTACACGCTCTGAGGCGCGTGGCGCGAGCCGAACGCACTTTTATGACTCAGGAATCAGGAAGGGTCAACGTCCGTAGGGACGCTAGGACGCCTTCCGTGAGCGGTGCGATCGTTGGTCCTCTTTTAAGTCAAGGAATTTAATCCCTTTAACTAGGATCGGACCTCGTGCGATTTCGAGAGGGGAATAGTACTGAGGGTGAGATCTTAAATTAAAGAAAGAATGGAGATATCTTTAACATAAATACTTATATTTATTTGACATAAAAAAAGTTATTTAGTATAAAAAAAATAATTATAAATTAGGCGTGTTAGTGTAAAATGTGTATATGTATATAATAAAACATAGGAGAGTTTATGTATTCTTCGCGGGTGATACATTAGTGCAGGTGATCGGGCAGGATTTTTAAAGAGGAAACCTATTTGAAAAATGAACATCCTGCCCGCTATTTATTACAATCGGAATCAGAAGTGAGATTGCATGAATTTAGCTAGGTGTTGTATGTGCGTGTAAATTAATTGAGTTGGAACATATGAGAACTAAAATAAATAAAATGTATTTTATAATTATTATTCCAAAGTTATCACCTCGGGTTCGTCTACTTCCTCAAGAACTACAATGGTCGAGGCGGTTGACGGGGTCGGGGATGGTCCTCTGGAACCCGGGTGGGAGGGGGAACCGAAAGGTTTGAGCGGGGTGGGGTAATCGGGGGTATCGGGGAGCACACGGTAAGGGGCCAGGCGACAAACAGGGCGAGAAGGCGGATTTGGAGGAGGCGGCAACGGCGGTTTCTCCGGAAGAGCTGGTGGAGGGGGCAGAGTGGCGAGTTGCGGAAGACCGGCGTTATCTTGTTCTTGGGAGAATTTCGATCCTTGGTTTTCGATCTCCCTTCGCGCCCGCTTGTTTTGACGACGCCGTTCGTGTTTTGCGGCGTTTTGCGACTTCTTGCGGGTGGGACCCGGCGAATCCACTATAAGTTAGTGGATTGTTAAATATTAAAGTCCGCCAACTGCGGGGAAAGTTACCTCGGGTTTTGAAGATTAAAGAAATCAAAAGAATACCTCGAGTCCATTGGCGAGTCAGCTAACTCGAAACAATAGATACCTCGAGTCCACTAACGAGTCGGCTAACTCAAAGTAATAGATACCTCGAGTCCAACGAGTCAGCTAACTCGAAGTAATAGATACCTCGAGTCCACCGAATCAGCTAACTAAAAGTAATAGATAAAGATTATATCGGATCTACCGATAATCGGCTAATCCGGGACAACGGAAAGAAGATTACTCCGAATCCACCGATAATTCGGTTAATTCAGAGTAGTAGAGAAATAAAAAAAAAGGGTAGAGGATTTGAGGGACATGTACCCGAGAAACTTTCCGAACATAAGGAAATAAGGGTAATAGAAAGAAGTGTATATACGACTTACTACTTGGCGCTGATCAAGTTGAAGTAAAATGAGAAGTAGTTGAACTAGCTGGATCTGATGATTCCCGGCTCCTGGGTGTGCACTCGTAATTTTAGCGCGCACAACTTGATAGTTTACAACTTAAGCGATAGAAAACTGTTGAGGTTGACTGAAGCTTAAGTTCCTTGAGAGACTGAAGTCCAAGAAGAAGAGAGCGAGTGCCACAATGTCAGGATTTATATAGGAAAATGTAAAGAATGGAAGGGGTGGATTTCATGTGGGGTGTGTCTGGTTTTCATTTTTGGGAATTTTGGTTGGTGGGGATTCTTCTAATTATTGTTTAAGGGATTTCTTATTGGGCAAGATGTTTCTCGCCCAAGAGGTAGATTCTTAAGTTTCTGTCTATCCTGGAAAGCTAGAGATGGTTATCGATTTTTCTGGTTTTTTATTGGTCAGTTGTCGCGTAAGACCCCCACTGTCTTATCGGGGGTGCAACCCAGCGATTCTTCCCGCGACTTGTCTTATTTTTCGGCTGTCGCCGATTTCTCTTTTATTGGGGTTCTTATTTATCTCGCGACTCTGTTTGTATGTCGACAGACGATGCATACTTCTCAATCTTAGACGCAAACAGAAACTTCCGCCACGTGTGTTTACAGGCACGTCCTAGGCTTTTTATCTCTGCTTGTCGGAAACATCGTACGAGAAATTTTAGAAACCTCGCTTGATGCAATAAAGATCTTCATCAATTCCGTCTGGGATTAAGGCCTCTTTTGGCGCGTCGTCGCCGGGCTTATAGTTATGGGCCAGACAAGGTGGATAAAAATCCGATCACGTATGCCCCGTCTGTCGGTAGTTTATTCTGGGAGGTCGCTTTGTGTTGCCTAGCCAAATAGCTAGTTGTAAAAAAAAAAAATGTGAGGAGATCAAAGCTCATTCCCCGATCGATAACCGTCCGTCCTTAGTTATTTATCCTTACCCTAAAAGATATCTTAAGCGCTTAATAGGAATTTCTGCGGAAAAGGGAAATCGTGGAGTTTCCGGGACGTAACAAATCAAACTTACAAGTTTACAATAAATTTGTGTTTAGTACTTATGTTACAGTTGCGTTATCCATAAAATATGATGCATACCAATAACATTCAGTACGATATAAAATCTAGCTCGAAAAACTTGGACAAAGATAGACAAGTAATGATATTTAAAGACATATTTGGAATAAATTCTCAAAATAAATTTCGAAATAATTTTGATGCCTGGACTGTAAAAAGCAAGCTGATTGGATAAAAAGAAACATAACAGAATTCTTTCCAAACATGCCGCAGTCTTTACAGAGCATTATTCCAGCAGCCTTTTGTCAATTAAATTATGACCGATCCCTGGAAGAATTACCTGAATAGATAGATATGGATAAATATCGCAGGGGACAAAAATTTGTCCAGAAAAATTACACCGCGATTATCATGTCCAAAATAACGGGCCTGATGTATATTTATACATTTCAAGAACAACTAAGCCCAATTATTTTGGGAAAATGTAGCCATACGCCGTATTTAGAATTTTAAAAGTAATTATCTTTCTAAAATATTGTATTTATATAAACATATAAGTAATAAGTAACTGTATACATTCTGATAAATATATTTTATACATTTCAAAGGTCCATATCGTCTGTAAAAGGATTGTTCAACTGGTATGGTAGAGAGCTTTGGGTTAGGGGAACTGAAGCTTACAAGGATATGCAAGTAGTACGTGGTAAGTATTTGACGATAAGAAACAAGATGTGTCAGATGGATCATGAGCAAATTGCTGCTGCGTGCACATTCGCAAATCCATGGTGTCTAGATCGTGAATTGGTTCTGAAGGATTTCGCTGCGGTTTCTCCACCTGAGAAATTTGCTCATATGCTCGTTACATATGCTGAGTCAAATGCTCGTTCCAGATCTTGATAAACGCTTTCTTTCGTTGGGTCATCTTTTTCCTTTGTTTCTGCGTGAAAGTTTATTATGGATGTGTTGAAGAACCTCGTTTTAAACCTCAGGATGTAAATTTTTTCACTTATGGGTTTGATATCTAGGATGTTTTTCTTGTAGTTCTTTATCTATACTTTATCTAAAAAATAATATTAAAATGAAACAAAAAATTTTTAAAATTTACTAGGTATATGCAGGGGAGGGTGGGCATAAATAAAGAGTCATGTTTTAAAAGAGCCATTTTATATTTCAACTATGACTGTATGTAGCCAAAAATTTTTAAATATTTTTATTTGATAGCAGCACTAAAACTACATCATCCATAGACATAGTTAACCATTAATATGTAATAGAAAAATCGGGTAAAATTTTCTTCGATTTTTCGTGAATTTTTTCTAGTTTCTCTGCATTATAGTTCGCTGCTTTATCCATAGCTTTACGTATTATATTATTAATAATGTCTCTTATAATTAAAAATTTGAATACGTAGAACATAAATCTGAATTTATCAAGATTACAGAAATGTAGAATATATAAAATATTCGAATTTTTATAATACGTACATAGAATAAAAACTAATATTTTGTAGGTTCATGAATTTTCTCTAACTTTCCGTTAATTAATTTTATAAGTATTGTATTACTTACTTGTAGATCTTATAGACGATCCACTCTGTGTAATTAAGTGACGCGTATAAATTAAGCATATTTAGATTTAACGAGTCTGTATGGCGATTAATATCATCGCTTCAACGCATATACATTACAGGCCAATAGTTTATATGCTCAACAAGACACCTCGTTGTGTACTTCCATTCTGGTGCCAACTCCTTAAAATTTTGTATTATCTAATATTGATAAAGATTATTCATGCGTTGTTTTATTTCCTCGAGGCTGCCACGGCAAAAATTATACCTGAATATATAATACAATTTTATACTATTTTCAAAGTTCTGATATTAGGTATATATACATTATGTTATGTAACATACTTTGTGTACATAATATATCGATAGAATTGCATAGTATTTGAAATATTGTTTGTATTAGGCTGAGGAGAAAGTAATCCGGGTCACGGATAAATGACAATACAACGTACTGTAATAATTTTTGTCAATAACTTCTGTTTTGTTTCTTTGAGGTTCCCTATCCTACATTAAAATTATTGCAAGGCAAGTTTTCCTGTGTATCATATATATGTATGTTTATTTCGATTTGATAAGATAACCAGATAAAGTGTCATTTACTATAAGCTCTTGTCGCCACGTCAAACAGTCACTGTTAAGATCTATTTGCCTTAAATCATATCTTTCTGCGCGATATCGTTCAGCTTCATATCGCTGCGACCATCGCTGAACACCTTTATAGACACTTGAGCTGGAGAATTCTCCCGCACCTTGTCTATTCACTAGATGTTGCGTTTTCAGGTCATTACCTATTTCGATCGATGCAGCACGGCTTGAGAGGACAACGCTTTCGAAATGCGGCCAAAATCAATAAATGAATTAAAGAATTCTTCGCGACCAAGGAGCTGGCCTATTATTGACACGGAATCCTTCTGCTTAAAAGAAGGCAGAAAATAATTATAAATTCAAACGGCAATTAGTTTAATTAGATAAGAAAAAAAGTAACTATTTTTTCTTAATAGATATTTTTTACGAAAAAATCCGGATTACTTTCTTTTCAACCTAATATATGGTTATAACACAGAATATTATATATTTATTATAATTGTATTTATATCTTTTGGTTTGTATGGTGATTTGTTGTTGATCGTATAAGGACGCTGTCCAAATTTCTCAGGTGGAGAAACCGCAGCGAAATCCTTCAGTAGCAATTCACGATCTAGACACCATGGATTTGCAAATGTGCACGCAGCAGCAATTTGCTCATGATCCATCTGACACATCTTGTTTCTTATCGTCAAATGCTTACCACGTACTACTTGCATATCCTTGTAACCTTCAGTTCTCTTAACCCGCAAGGCTCTCCACTATACCAGTTGAACAATCGTTTTACAGGCGATATGGACCTTTAAAATGTATAAAATATATTTATCAGAATGTATACAGTTACTTATTACTTATATGTTTATATAAATACAATATTTTAGAAAGATACTTACTTTTGGAATCCTAAATACGGCGTATGGCTACGTTTTCCCAAAATAATTGGGCTTAATTGTTCTTGAAATGTATAAATATACATCAGGCCCATTATTTTGGACATGATGATTGCGGTGTAATTTTTCTGGACAAATTTTTGTCCCCTGCGATATTCATCTATATCTATCCATTCAGGTAATTCTTCCAGGGATCGGTCATAATTTAATTGACAAAAGACTGCTGGAATAATGGTCTGTTAAGACTGCGGCATGCTTGGAAAGAATTCTGTTATGTTCCTTTTTATCTAATCATGTTGCCTTCTTACAGTCCAGACATTAAAATTATTTGGAAATTTATTTTGAGAATTTATTCCAAATATGTCTTTAAATATCATTACATGTCCATTTTCGTCCAAGTTTTTTAAGCTAGATTTTATATTGTACTGAATATTATTGGTATGCATCATATTTTATGGATAACGCAACTGTAACACAAGCACAAAACACAAATTTATTGTAAACTTGTAAGTTTAATTATATTGTTTTTTAAAGTAGTATGTTATTGGACTATGTGTATGTGTTCTCTTTAGTAATTTGAGTAATTATTTCACCATAATTTATATTTTTTTATCCTACCTGCTGTTCTCCATTACTATACTATATATATTATGTATAACATATCTGTTTTTAATGAGGTATAGATATCCGATATATATGCAGAATCAGATATCATATCTAGAGATGAAATTATCATGGATTTTTACGATCTTCGAGATGTCTTTGAGATATTCTCATGATATCTTGCGCAATCAGATATTCCGTCATTCAGATATCTTCTATAGATATCTTGGAGATATATTTTGCTGTGTGGGTACATAACACTAAACATCATTGCATTTAGAATTTACCTTATCTCATGCGTGACAGTGTATCTACGCGATTTGCAGACACACGAGTCTCTCCCTGAAAGTAGAGATGCCAGATTCCCAGTATGCGCCGAGTAAGGTCATTTCTATAGGGGGTTTTAGTCGGTAAGAATCCGACATACCTCCTGGTCCTTTCCTGGAGACCGGGGGGACCTCCGAGTTCACCAGTATTTACTATCGTCACGATAGCAAAATCACTATATGATGGCACCTGCATACTGATGAAGATAAAAAACATTACTTGTTGCGGAAACAAGTTTATCTCTCTATGCAACGCGCATTAAAGTATCGCGAACTTTTTTATCACAAAAGATTTATCAGCGATTTTCCAAAGACTCAATAATGCCTGGAAATATTAAATTTTGTATAAAATAAATCGTTTAGTTTTACTTTAACCGAATAATAAAGTAGT